CACCACTGGCCGCCCTACCCACGCGTCAAATAGTAATTAATATGAATAATGTTTTACAGTTTACTGCATACCATGTGCCGTATGTATTGGTTTGAGGGTAGAGCCAAATGGCTGGCCATAAGTCATAACCATTTGGCAGCTTAGCTCTGGCTTGAAAATAGCCGTAAGTCCAGGCTTGCAGTGAATTGAGCCGGGATGACGTGAAATTATTATCACCCTGGTTCTGTACTTTCACTTGTATGGTTAACACACCGTTAGCCACCTGAACATTCTGGCCATTAGTGTAGTACTCGAGCTCATTATTACCCCAACCTTAGGTGCAAATATTATTATTATTATACTTTATATACATATTTTAGTATAATATTTAAAAATATCGCATAATATCATAAATAATATGCTAGTTATCATGACCTCCCCCTCCCGTTTCAAACTTCCAGTTACTTGGGTTGAGTGAATTGCCGTTGAAGTCGTCTCTCCACACCTCAACCCAACCGCCAAATACGGGCCAACACACCGACAACCCTAATATCAATACAATTATATGAGTTTCAAACATAATATTTAAATTATTTAATACAATATTCAATTATGATTTGGTTTATGAAAATCTTAGAGCAAATATAATATTGAGCAATTTAATCAGGATAATTTATACATTTTGTTTGCGTTCAAGTATTATCATTTCATAACAACATATTTTTTGTGATCACAACTCGTAAACGTGAAAAATAATGTCATTTACTATTAATTGTGTAGTCATTGACATAACACATGTACAGTATATAAATTTATAATAGGCGACAAAAAAGTACACTGTACTAATCATATTAATTTTGTAATAGATTTTAATATTATATTGGTGCAAAATACGTCGTCGACCTTTATTAGAAAACTGTGCTAGCTAAAACAAAGCAAAAAATATAATTTTTTACAATTCTTATTGACTTCAAGGCACAGAAGTTATATCTTTGTACCAGCACCGGTATGTTATTAGCACCGGCTGATGCTCTGGAGCTAAAACTATAGGAGATACAGAGATGATCAGGGTACCATTCGAAAGAGCATCAAAATCAAAGGATACATGCCCTTGATAGATTTTCCCTAAAATGTTTAGTTTT